GTGCGTGGGGGGTGAGCATGGGTGTAGGTGGGTGTGTGCAAGACCTTAAGAACACCCCCCACAACCCTGGCAGCAAGCAGCAGGCCGAGCTAGCCCCATCTTCCCGGAAGCCCGGCGAGTGCAGCGTGCTAAGAATCCATGGGGGCCTGTGGACTTTGCTTTGTAGCCACTTTTGTCGGCTTTGACCTCATGTTGAAGCTTTTGAGCTCCACGACGGAGTTCATTTGGGTTGCTTCGAGCTCTTCGGGCTGCAGGGGGGAAGTCAAAGTGACGTCTGCAAGGCGGTTTAGAAGAACTTCACGCCACTGAACATGCATCATCTCGCTTCTACGACGGAACCCTGAAATCACCTGACAGCGAACCACCGGCTGCCCTCCGTTGACATCTTGGCAAGAAGCAAAAGAAGACTTAACTTGGACTCCGTCTTAGTTGGTGACCCGAACCCACTTAACTGGGCGGAGCCGCTGCCGTCTCACCGTAGACGCGCTGGAGTACAAGGATGGCCTCCCTGAGGACCCGCTGGTCCTCGAATCATCGAAGAAAACGGCGATGGAGATGGTGAGGGTCGTCTTCTTATAAAGCTTGGGGCAAGCGAAATTTGATGCGTTGTTAGGTTTCTTGAAGGTTTTTTTTGGGCATTTTAAGGTTTAGCACGTTTAGGATTTTTGGCTGATCGGTTCGAACGGGGGCCCCAACAACTTCCCGAACCGTCATCCTGGATCACACTGATCACTTCAGGCCTCTTCGTACATGACGATATCGGCTTTTGCCTGGATTCTGCGTCTCTTTCGGGATGAGCTGTGCAGCAGGCAATTTCTGCACCGCAAGGCAATGCCAAACATTTTCGGCCATCTTTTATATACCCCAAGCCGGTCAACTCACGCCTCGAACACAAACGTCAGTGCGGCACTACCGACACGTTCGGATACTCGCGAACCGCTCATGAACCGTTGGAGCCACAGCTCAGCATGCGTCAACCCTAGAAGCCTCTTCTTACGTCCTCTCCGCCGGGGCCTTGGGCCGCAGGTGTACCCCAGCGCACCCCGCACGGACTGCAATGGGTACCCGCCCCCCCGCCGCCCCGCCTTCCTCCCAGCAGACTGCATCAGGATTCCCCACCCCCCTACCCTCCCCACCCCCCTACCCTCCCCACCCCCCTACCCTCCCCACCCCCCTACCCTCCCCACCCCCCTACCCTCCCCACCCCCCTCCCCTCCCCACCCCCCTACCCTCCCCACCCCCCTACCCTCCCCATCCCCCCCCCCGACCTTCCCCACCCCCGCCACCTGTACATGAGCCTGCCACAACAGCATCTCGAAAAGCGGATGACATGGTACTCGGTCTCTTGGTCTAGGTCTTTGCTGAGCGGAGGAGACGAAACGGGCGTCTTAGTCATTAGTCGAAGCCGAGAATTGCCGAAGAGCGACGTGCAAAAGTTTGCGCCGTCTTGCCAGCAACCATGGAAACCCGGGCAACCCAGCACAAAGTGCCCGACAGCAAAATGTCCAGAATACATAATATAGTGGCACGCTTGAGTAGAAGGCATCACGAAGTCAAGAAACTGGAAAGATAGGAGAGGACGACATGTCACTCACGAATCAAAGACACGAGGGCAGTGTCAACTGCCATCACGAAACTGTAGGGTTGTTGCACGTCTTTGCCCGCGGCCCCGCGCCGCACAGCAGAGCCCCAAGATCATTCAGAGCACTCATTGGCTCTCCCATCAAAAATCAGCCCCAATTCAAGCGTCACGCGGCCTTGGCAGTTTCCTTCGCCCGCAGGCTCTCGGCAGATGCGAGAGAGACCTTCAAGAATACACGTCTGTGGCTCATAGGTTCACAGGGGCTTCCGACGATTAGAGGAATTCCAGTGTATGTTTGTTGATAGCAGAAAGGTGACTTTCAAGTTGAGAATTCCCGCATCATTGTCGTGATTGCCCTGGATCCAACTTAAGCACGGGATTCTCGGCGCCTTCCCTTGCAGACACCAAGCCGTGTTGGGTCCGACTAGGTTCAGCGAACGTTCTGAGAGCTTCCAGTCTGCGTTTTGACTTCGCCGTCTCGCACACACACACACACACACACACACACACACACACACACACACACACTGACTGTGGCCCCCGAAAAGGTAGGCTAAGCAGAGTCATGGCATCCCCTCTACGGCCTTCATGTCCTCGATGTCCTTCGTGCCTGAGCATGCAATAACACTGAACTTGGTCCCTACTTAACTCCGAAATTAAAGAAGGCTGTTTCACAATAAGAAGGCCCCACAAGGCCCCACAAGGCCGCACAAGGCCGCACAAGGCCCCGGCTCGTTTCGATCTCCGACTTCAGAGAGGACAACCTTCGTCAGCTTCGGGGATGAGGTCTAAGCGGGGGCAGTTCCGAAACTGTGGTGTGGGTTCATGCAAGGGAGACTCTACCATATTTGTGGACCAAGACTCATTTTGGGAAGCTGCGAAGTCGGTTCTCGGAACGGAGCTTGGGCCCTGTGCATCTCGGAGCCGTATCTAGCGCCTAATGGCATTTGGGGGGGGGGGGGGGGGGGGGGGCCACAATCCCACAAAAGCGGGCGTAGGATCGTGGCCGCGTGGATGCAAGGCATCCTACTTCCTAAGCAGCAGGCTCGGCATTGATAGCGAGCATCTTCGTCTTGAGCTTGTCGGCACGGGTGGCTTTGCTGGCCTGAAGCTCTGCCACAACTTCACCTACACGAAGCCCCTCCTCGACAGAAACCAGACTCTCTTTCCACTCATCAACACGGATATGCCGATCTTGAACAGTCCGTTCAGCCCTTGATGTTGCACTCGGCAGTCTTCCTCATACTAGTTTTGGGGGTGGAGCATGAGGCCGCCGGCGCAAAAGTAGAAATGATGCCCCCTCCCGACACCCTGGTTACCTGACAAGTGTCCCTCACGATGGCTTTGTTTCTGTCTCAATGTCTCTCTATGTCCGTTTCTGTCTGTGGGCTGTGAACGAAGGGTGTCTTCCGAGGAAAGTTTCTTCCTCATACTGCTTATACTACATAAGACTACAACTGCACAAGACGTGCGGCATGAGCTCCGCCCCTTCATTCTCCCTCCGGTCGCCTTGGCATTGTTGGTGTTGGACAGCTCCGTCACGCACCAACTGTCTCGCCGTGCGTCCTCCGAGTTCGAGGCATTGCCTGCCGTGCCTTCTGGTATCAGTACACTACACGTCAGCGCACTGCGTAGGGCATGCAACTTCAGCAGCATTTAGCAATCTAACAAGGGCCTAAAGCTGCTAGAAGCTTGGAAATTCCTTACTCAGGATGTTCGCTCAGCCTACAGAACACAATATCGGTGCACACCACCATTTCCTACTCCCAAAGACCAGTCCTGCGCCTGCTGCTCGTTCAGCTTGGCGAGCATTTCGTGAATGAGGGCCTTGGGACACGACGACAAACCTGCACCCCGGCACTCAGCCACCGGCAGCATCCCCACGAGGATACCACTGCCCTGAACTTTAGGCCCTTGAGCCAGATCCTACACCATCACACGGAGTTCTACATATATGCAGCATTGGATTCCCAATTCGAAGCCCAATGAAGAGCAGGCCTTAACTTTCTTGAAGACATCTCTCCTTGCGCAGCTTAGACGAGTCTGAGGTTTTTTTGGCTTCGTGTCACAGCCAGTCAACTTACAGAAGCGTTGCCTGCCTGTGGTGGTAAAGAAGGACACGCTGAGAGTTTCTGTATTGTTGTGTACACCTTTCACGATGGCCACGAAGCATGAACATTCCGAAGACGCGCGCGCGCGCGAAGCAGCAGCAGGTACGCCCCATGACATCATGAGTACAACTCCAGGCGCCCGGCCCAAACCCGAACCCCCCATGACCCCCCCTCCTCCCCCACCTCCAGAACACAAAGTAGAGTACTGGGCACTGAAGCCGAACTACAAGGGCCGGCACAAGCCAACAGACTAGACTTGCAGAATCAGGTCTCCTGCCCACGCCTTCCTGGGACTGCAGAAGCAGTGCTGCCAGGCCGGGGCTGGCAGCCGACTCGAGCAGCCGCGCCTCGGGCTGGTTTGCTTTGTTAGAGGCCGCTGAGAGGCGCAGACAGCAGTGCAGCGGGCAGTGCTGCGGGTAGCACCGCTGGGGCAGCTAGGCGTGTCAGGATCCGCTGTATTCTGAGGCATGGACCACCTTGCGCCTGCTCAACTCGTGCGAGGACAAGGAGCTCAGGGCCTCCGGAGAGATTTGGCGGACGATCTCTCAAGAACCCCAAAAAAAGCGCACGTCTGACGGCCTCGGACGAAACCTGCAAGAAGCTCGTGGCCGTCTTCGTGCTTTCCTCGGCCTTTGCCCGGGTCTGGGATGGAAGGACAGAAGACTGGAAGCATCAATCTCTCCGATGATTTGTACCCGCTAGGCTAAGGTGGCTGCGCCAGTGTCGCTGCTTTTGGTGAGGATGGCCAGTGCCTTCATGACTCAAGGTCTTTTGAGGTATCATAAAAAAACGGGATCGAGCAGACCCAATGCCCAATGCAAGCCTCCAACCTGCAGCAAGAGAGGGGCCAAGCCTCTGTGACGACTCCTGTCTCTGCCTCCCGGGACTTGCCCCGGGCGGTAAAGTCCTGCGCTTCGGGTGTGATCTTCCCCATCACCAAGTCGCCATGAAAGAGCTGAACCCACGAGACCAGCGTTTAAACACAAGATGTCGAGGGGTGTCTCCCAGATGTCCCAATCTGACCTTGGGCCCTCAATTTGAGGAATGGACGGTGGGAACATGCGAAGAGGCGTCGGCAATCCGTTCGCTGTGCGGCCGTCCTTGCTCTTATCCTTGAGGTCGACTTGCAGCTCTGTTAGCTGCTGCTTCGTGGACGACAGCCGCCTGGTCAGGGTTGCGATCACACGTTGAACCAAGATACGCCCAGGCTTTTTTCCATGAGGTACACGCAAGACACACACGTCTCAAGCTTCTCTCTGTGCGAAATCGAACGAAGCGGTTACCCTCCAATCTGCAACACAGAATGCCTGTTCACGGAGAGCAAGTCGCTCTTGGCTTTGCCCGCCGCCTCTCGACAAAGGTGTGGCTAAGTGGAGGGTGAAGATCCGGACCCATTTCGACTTCAGCCACACTCCCACTCCCAACTAGTCATGAGTCTCAATAATGTCTTCTGCCGAAACACACGTGGCAAATCCACCCTTCCCTGGAATGGGCAAGCCCCCTGCCCGCCCCCTAACCAACAAATGTCGGAGCAGGCGGTGCATCATGACCAAAGAGCATTTGGGCCCGACCATAGGGGGTCCGCCCCTCTTCCTCCCCCGCCAGCCCCCAGCAACCCTGCCGGCCCCTCACCTCTGCTGAAACCCAACAGTACCTTCACACCCGCGCTCTCCGGTTTGGGTTGCCTCGCACGCGTAGCGTTAAAATTGTGCTGTCACCTGGTAAAGACCTTAAAGCTAGCACCTCCGTGTCCCAGATATCTTGTGGAAAAGGTTGCCACACGCGCACACACACACACACACACACCTCACGAGTGCGGGTGAACACTAGGTGCGAAAGACACAGCCTCGACTGAAACCAGACCTTGACCCGTGCAAACCAGAAGCACGCTGCACAAAGTCTTGAAGTCCCACTTCCCACAACCCACTCAATCCCCAAGTTCCTTTGCCCTTGTGCCTCTTCAGATGTGGAGATAGCTGCCTTGACCTCATCCACCGCCGCCTGACGTGTTGCCACCTCCTGACAGGTAGTAGCCCTGCCATTTTGAGGTCCACTCATTCGCAAGGGAATCCAAGGAGGCTTGGGCCACCCAAAGGGCGCGGTGCGAGACAAGCACTTCCACAAGGCTCCCATTCGGCTCATCCCCCAGGGTATCCGGATGAAGGTTGAGTCGGTTACAAGTGTCGGGAGCAGGCCGAGGGTGTGTTGGGAACAGGGGGGGGGGGGGGGGGGGGTGCGCGTTGGGAACTGGGCAGGCGTGAGTCAGGAACGCAGGGGGGATGAGTCGGGAACAGGGCCCATGTGTACAGCACGCCCGGGGGTCGAGTTGGGAAAGGCTGCCCCCCAGAATTGGGTTTCGGAGTGATGACCCTACTCTGCAGGTTTGTTTTAAGTCCTCTTTCGGCGACTTGGAGTTGGGTCTACAGTCTTGTTTTCAGCTTCCAAAGGGGAGACTTTACGAGGCGAACACATCCGACGTGTCATGAACCCGCACACCAACACGCCCACCCCACCTGTTCTCAACACGCGTGTGCCCAACACACCCCAGTTGCAACCAACACGACTAACATTCCAGGGTATGCCATCCATGTCATCCGATCATCCCGTCGCATGTCCTCCTCCAGCGTCTTCGTGAGCTCCGCGAAGTTTTTCCGCGACCTTCGAAGCTCCAGGGATCTCTCGGAATATACAACAAGCCAGCAGCAACCGTTGCGTAAGAGGCGTGGGGTGGGAAAGGGTGGTTTCATTTCTGCAAGTGCAACCACACTGCAGAATTACACTGTGATGTACACTGCCGCCAATTCCTGCACTGGGTTTTTCTTGCCAGAATTAACCCAACTGAGGGCAAGCTTGCTCCAATTTGCTCCACCTTCTCTCAGAGGGCACCAAAGAGCAGTTTCAGTTTCTGCTGGCCAGTATTTCAGTTCACCCCCTGTCCATGCCTTTGTTCCCGTGCTTGAAGAGTTCCTTACGCATTCTACGCGCTACATTATCGGATGGTTGGCCGTTGATATCCTGTTGCAGCTCAGTCGACTTCTCCTCCGCCACTTGCGTGGCAGCCAGCTCGGTCTCTGTCTCATCTTTCACCTGAGAACTCTGAGAACTCTGAGAAGGGGCCGTGAGAGCCATCTGTGGAGGTCAAGCGGCAATAAGCGGCAACCCGCACTTGGAGGTACTCCTGTTCTTGGCACACGCCACCGATCCCCATCCGATTCCCCAGCCTGCTTCAAGGTCTCTGAGAGGTCGCCTATGGCTGGAGCCTCGTCATCGCCGTCCAAGTCTCCCTGCATGCGGGGGGGAAAGAAGGGGTTTCAAGCTTCAAAAAAAACAGAAGAGCGACAAGAGCTGGGCTGCATGATGAGATGTCTTCTTGCAGTTGGGAGTTGAGCAGACAGACTTCCTTCCGTTTCAAATTGGTGCGAGTCCCGTGCTTCTCTGGATCTCTGGCATGCTGAGTTGCTGCACCCCAGATCACTGCGAAAAGGAGATAAAAGGAGAGACTTGACTGGCAGCTTTCAAAAACTACAAACGACTCTCGAAGGACCTCAGCGACGGCAAGTTTATGAAATGCACCTTCAAGTCACAAGGCTTCTTGTCTTCATTCTTGGCTTCTGGGCCGAGGAATCCCAGGCACAGGAGTCGCCAGAGTCGCAAGAGTCGCAGGGTGGGGGGGGGGGGGGGGCATCCGTCGATATCGGCGACGACGGGGCAGCTGGCTTCTGCCCAATCTGCAAACCGCAGCACACCTGCCTCATCTTGCAAAGGCCCAGGCTACAGACCCGAAACATCCTAAGCTTCAAACGTCTTGAAGCTGAAGGCCACCCGTGAATAAGCATTGAGCCACTGCGATCACCGCGCCTCATCCAGCGAGTTGTCCTTCGCAGCTTTGCGATCGCTCGCCATCTCGGCATTGAAAAGGGGGGTTTCACATGGTCTCACAGGGTCTCACATGGCTTCACATGGCTTCTCCGTAGCTCTAATGGGGGCAACATGCAGCCCTTGCGCTGGGACTCAGAAATGCAACATCTAAGCTTTGCCTGAACATGTCTGCGACCGGCACACACACACACACACAGAGACACACACAGACACACACAGACACACACAGACACACAGACACACAGACACACAGACACACAGACACACAGACACACAGACACACAGACACACAGACACACAGACACACAGACACACAGACACACAGACACACAGACACACAGACACACAGGACACACAGACACACACAGACCACACACCCACACACACACACACACACACACACACACACACACACACACACACACACACACACACACACACACACACACACACACACACACACACACACACCCCCGAGACTTGCCTGCAGGAAGCCCACAGCAGGGGCTTGTGCCTCAGGAAGAGGACGAGAGCCGCGATACTTTGTAGCGCGAATCCCCGATCCCCTGCCCGAGACCCCTTCATGCCAAACTGTCAAGACTAAGCATCCAGAGTCTGAGAAACAATAGCCAGCGACCGTTGACCGGGGTGAGGGACAGCTGGCGACAACTCATTCCATGATGAACACTCTGAACGCTTGAAGGCAGCAGCAGAGGGCCCCATTATGTCCCATTGCAAAGCTGAGGTTGGCGCCTTTCGTGTTCGGCCCGCGACGGACAAGAGGCGAGACAGGAAGTGCTGCCTCCATTGGGCGCTGCATGCTGCCGAGACAGGCTTATGCTTATAACATGTTAAGCACATGTTAAGCAGGGCTGATTCGGGAATGCCTAAGACAAAGGTGACAGCACAGAGTTTCACAAGCGGATGCGGCGGTCCCGATTGCGTGAACCTCTGGAAACCCTTCTTGATCACAAGCCTCGTGGTGTAGAAAATGGGACCTCCTACTCTCTCCTACTCTCTTGGGGACGGAGGACGTTGTTTGAAGCTGATTAAGCTTCGGTGTTGCAGCATTGCAAGGTTCGGGTGTGCCAAAGATTGGCCAGACTCAGCCCTTGGCTGATTCGCCGTCAGTAGCTCATCTGCACCGGCGCTGAGCGCGGTCCTGTGAGAGCAGACTGCTGTGGCATCACGATCGATCGAGCCCAGGGTTTGCGGGGACCTAGAAGTGTTGGAATCAGCCTGCCGTGTGCAAATCAGGAAGCTTGGCACTTCGGGACTTGGGCTCGAGCTAAAACAACCCTTAGAGACCCCTGGAAGTGCGCCATGGTTTGGGGAGCTCTCAAGACAACCCACGCTTCGCTGAAGGCCCACACATGCTCACAGGTTCGCTGTGAATCAGCGGGCTCATCCCTTTTTCGTGCACTGAGACTCTGGACCCCCCGCCATGCAATTGCGTAGTATAATACTACGTCGTCTGTCTAGTTGTTGGCATCGTTTCAATCCGAGGCGATATTCACCGAGGTAGCGGCCGGAGCTGCGAGGTTGCCGCAAGCAGTCGCTCTCGGGGCAAGTGCATTTTCCTACAGCAGGCTGCGAGCTCGGAAAACCTAGCCCATCCTCTCCCAATGCTTCTCATAAACTTTTCTTAACACGTGAAAAACACCTCTCAAATTTGGAGGACATAAGAAAGAGTCGACTGTGCCACACAATGGGCCTCCTGAGATCTCTCAACAGGGTGGCTGAGTGAAAGTACTCCGGTTAGCTTTCGCAATCCAACGCAAACGGCCATGAAATCTCGCACTCCCGTCGAGACTGCTTGCAATCATACCCCAGGATTCACGGCGGCTCGCCTGTTCGCTTCCGCCGCGAGCACTTCTAGAGATAATGAACGACTACGAACCCTAGATAGGATCGTAATGACATAGATGAGCACATCGTAGGTGCCACAATAACCCTCAGAGTAATGGCCTGTCTGGAACATATCCGGGATGGTGCTTCCAGAAACTCGGCGAAAACCCATCCCACCACAAGGCAGGCAAGCTTCTTCCCAGAGCTCTTCTGCAAGAGACCGGATGCATCTGCACCTCAACTACGCGATTCTGTCATCAGTAGCTCAGCAGAACTCACGCTCAGTGTTCATGCAAATACATCAGATACTTGTGAACACTGCAGACTGATTTGATGGCGCGGGCACTGACACAGAAAAGGCTGACGAGGCCTAAGAGAAGGATGGCAGGCACCACCTTGCTTCGAAATCCCAAAACCTGAAGTGTAGAACTGTCTGTGCAGTAATTATAGGACAAAATCTTGATGCTTGCGCTGCCACTGCCTCTACCAGATCCAGTTTGTACACACTGCCTATCAGGCCTCTCAAATCTACATTCGGCACCCTACCAAGAATAACATTCAGAACCCAATACACTTCGACACGCTTTCAGAGCCGGACCTTCAGACATGCCTCAGCGGGAAAGTAGCTGCAACTCCGGGCTTCGGGGGCTTGGCAGCTGGTGCTCCAAAGCACCGATACTTCAGGCCAAGAGTCAGCGGTGCTGCCCCGCTGCTAGCAATGATTAGCAATGCATCAACTCGCACTGAACTTCACCCAAAGATCGGCTTTCCGAAGCTTTTCAGGAGTCCAGGGCCCCGGGCCCTTGACCGTCTTCAATGCTAGGTTCAAGTTCTCGGTGCTCTTCTGCCTTCGAATACTCCGCAGCAGAGCAATGGCATCCGCAGGCTCGGCACCTGATAGCCTATAGCATCTATAGCCTTCTGCGTGGTGGAACATTGGTGTTGACAAGTTGGCCCTCAATCCCTTTTTGCAGCTTTGCATGGGCTTCGGCTGCCTTAAGCCTTGCGACTCCCTGGCACTTGGGCACTTGGGGTCCCGTGGTGCGTTGGGGTCTTGGCATTGGGACCAAAATGACCAAACATTGGGTCAAGTCGGGAACTTTACCACGCCAAGGTACAGCTGCGCAGCGTTCTTGACAAAGGTCTCCTGCGCCCGAACACGCCGCAAAGCGATGAGGCCCGCATGTCGCAGGCTCTGCCGCATTGGAGAAAGGGTGAGGGGGCCCTTGAGTGCGTCCTTCTCCGTCAGACGCTGCTGCTTGGCAAGCTCCAGCTCCTTCAGAAGCAAAGAAGAAAGGACAGAGAAAGCAAAAGCGTGCGGGCTCAAGACACTCCCAAACAAAAAGCAGCTGCCTGCCTGTCTGCCTACCTCTTCTCCGAAACACCAAGAAAGCCCCCTCGTGCCCCCTCCCCCACCTTCTGCGAGTCCAGGAGGTTGGAGGCGGCCTTGGCCAGGAGGCTCTTCTTCTCCGCCTGGGCCCGCTCGATGCAAAAACTGAATCCGACAATCTTCTTGCGCTTGCGGGCAGTTGCAGAGACATGCACGGTCCCGACTGAGCCAAGAGATGACTGGAAGTTTCGTGATCACGCCGCCTGCAGGGCCTCTGCCGCAGCGATGCTTGCCTGACATGAGGCTGAGTGGAGAAAGGATTCTGGGCTCGCTGTGGGGCATCAAGAGTCCGAAAGTCAGTCGCTTCAGTTCCGAAATTCCTGGAATCTGCTTCTCCAACCCTGCAAGACAACATGACGGCACAAAAATCGGGGGCACACATAAGATTTTCCTTTGGGAAGTTGGCAGCAACATGAATCGTAAGCAGAGTGCCGGGGGGGGGGGGTATCAAGCTTTGGTTAGTTCCAACTTAGCCGCAGATGGCCTTCAGCTCAGCAAGCTGCGCGGTGCTTTGCTCCACCGTGGTGGACGCTGCCGCAATACTTGCCTTCCAAGTCGCGTAGCCCAAACCCGTGTTTCTAAGATGTTTGCCATCCATAGGGAGTCGACCGAGGGAAGGTTCACACGATGCTTCAAGTACCCGGCACGGTTCACCCTCTAAGCAATCGTAAGGTGAAGAACGACTCCTTTCGGTTTTGGTTGAGGCCTATCGGCCTATCGCTGGCGGCAGTCACTAAGACTGATGTCCCTGTCAGACCGCCTGCCTTCGTCAGCTTCTCATACTCGGAGAAGTCTTTTTCATCTGCCTCAGCAAGCACACTGTCGGGTGCAAATTTCAGCCTCGAAGCATTCTACTGCTGCTACTGATGCTGTGGTGGACGAGGACGAGACCGAGGACCGAGGACCGAGGACCGAGGACCGAGGACCGAGGACCGAGGACCGAGGACCGAGGACCGAGGACCGAGGACCGAGGACCGAGGACCGAGGACCGAGGACCGAGGACCGAGGACCGAGGACCGAGGACGAGGACGAGGAGGAGGAGGAGGAGGAGGAGGACGAGGAGGACAACGAGGAGGACGACGAGGAGGACGACGAGGAGGACGACGACGAGGACGTGGCCACCACCACCACCACCACCACCACCACCACCACCACCACAACCACCACGACGCTGATGCTGACGCTAAGCGGGTGGCGGGTGGCGGGTGGCGGGCGGCGGCGGGCGGCGGGCGGCGGGTGGCGGGTGGCGGGTGGCGGGTGGCGGGTGGCGAGTGGCGGCGGGCGGCGGTCGTACCCACGACACTGGTATTTGCATAGTTAGGGACACATCCGGTATTTGACAGTGTTTTTCATCATGTACATGGCTTTCCCATGGGTTCTTGCACGTTTCAGCTTTTCTGGAAGTCTCTCGTTTGTGGTTTCTGCGGTTTTCGGTACTGTTGAACAGTAAATATATGCATTTTCCCATCCGCCTTCTTGTCTTCCTCGAGCTGTGTGGTAAGCTCTGTCAAAAGCTGCGTCACCTTTCAACATGGACAAACTCACCAGTGACCCCCTTCCTGTGCAGTGCTTGGAAGTTCTCTGAAAGGGCTTATCCAGGCATGTAGAGAGGAGGCTAAGTCTTATGCGACAAGGTGCCGGGCGACACATCTCTAAGCCCACGCAACTAAGCTGCGAAAACCCCTGCGACCATCTCTGCAACGATCGCCCAGGGCGCTGATCAATTCCAATCTCTGACTTTTCGGAGTCAGGTGTTTGGATTTGGGCAAGATGCAGTCTTGATCCAAGGAAACCTTCCGATTTCCACAATTCGCGAAATCAGCAGAGCAGAGCCTTCTTGAGGGCTGTCGATTTCTCTGACAGAGGCGTCCCCTGCTCTGCACCTGGCATCTGTGAAGCCATGTTGAAGTCAATTGAAGCCATGTTGAAGTCACTCACGTTGAAATGCTGCGAACACGAGGCTTGTAGGGCTGCAGCTGGCTTCCTCGCTGAGACAGAGTGCGAGGACCTTGCTTTGAGGTTTGGGAGCTTTGGTTTGGGTTGTAGGGATCAAGACTGTGGTGATCTCACAGCAAGACACGCAAGGTACTCGAGTTCTCAAAGTAGCTTCAGGGCTTGTCCCGACACCTGGAAGCCCCTCATAGCAAAGCACGCCAAACTTGTTCTGAAATCTCCCCGGTTCTCCGGGTGCCCCACCAAGACTACATTGCACCAGATTGGCCTCCGACCAAGAAGGCTTGAGCTGGGCTTCGCTTTGGAACTGTTTGCGCAGATGATCCAGGAGATTTCATCAGTCAGGATATTCCGCACTTGGAACGAAACCAGGAGCACTACCTGTTCTAGTCATGGATCGCAGTATCTCATCCTCGTGGAAACCTTCTTTGCTGAGTTGTTCCCAAAAGAACATGAGCTTATGCGTGCTTGCACTAGACTTCGTACTCTTTCATCTTCGAGCAGCACGCTTACAAACCTGGTCTGGGTGAGCACACAGCACATCCACACCTCCGCAAGTGCAACGAGTGCACGGTGGCCATATCGCAGCCCGCAACCCTGAGTCCCCACCCAATCCTTCAGAATCGCTCGGTATGGGGAGGACGGCAGCCGACAAACCCTACCCTTCGAACCCTCACAAAGCTGTGAAATCCCCTACAGACTCACCTGGTCTCACCTGACTCACCTGGACTGCATGTAAAGTTCTACCCTCCACCCCCGCCCGATTTTGGGCGCGGGTGGTCTGAGCCCAGCCAGAGTTAAAAGACAAGTCGCGTGGCTCCGCTCAGAACACACAGGGGAGGCTTCCGAAAACCGGGGGCGGGGAGGGGGGGGGGGGTGTCCTATCCTGGAAATTCCTGGAAAAAGGCGACTAGGAGTGTCTAGTTGGGCTTAGGACCTCATGAACAACCCGCTGTTGCTGGAGACATGTGCCTAAGCACTGAGCATCTTTGCCATGCTTTGCCACGCGTCAAGACCTGTGAGAGGTCCCTGGTCTCCTTGGTATCTGCATTCACCTCCCACCGAATACGAGTTTAATCTACCCTCAAGAGGCCGATTCGCAACTAGCGTAACATGAATCGTTAATCCGGTCAGGAGGAACTCTGGTCAGGCCAGGTGCAGATGGGGCGTCCTTTACTTGGAGTTGTTGCGGCGCCGACGTGCCTACAAACGTGTGCCTAGGACAGTGTTGGGAGGAACTCAATAGCCAAGATATGATATGAAGGCTCGGGCTTGTCTTGGCGTTTCTCAGAAACGGAATAGGGCGCACCAGACTCTTTGAATTTCACACGAGCCGTCATGGCCACATGTCAGCAGAGAAGTGCCTGCAGTGCAGCGAGCAGATTAAATTTTGGGCCCGGGGAGCCGAGATGTAACATCTATCTGGAATGTAGCGTCTCAAAACAAAATGCTTCTGGAAAGATACAGCCAAACCACAGAAACTCGTATGAAAAGCGTGGGAGCTGAGCAGAAGCCGAAGAGTAGAGCCATAGGGAAGCTGGGACAAAACTCCACAACTCCACCAATTTGTTTGCTTTCCAAAGCGGGACTTGTTCACCTACGGAGACTCTTCACGTACCAAAGTGCACCAAGTGTTCCATGCATTTAGCACATCAGAATCTAGGCCGTTCCATCGGAGTCTTGGGGGGCTGGGGAAGGAGGGAGATGCGCATCATGCTGTACAGCACTCGCAGGTTGTCTGAAGCTATGACTGGAAGGAGACCTGCAATCTAGGGAAGCGCCAAGAAGACAATCGAACACCCCCCTGCCCTCACTGCGTGCAGGAACTCCCACATGAGGGACACCTCGGCCGATCAGCGCATCAGGCAACTTAAATGGAGGGCAGCGGACGCTTGAGCAGGCGTGCTGAAATCACAAACCTGCAGGACAGAGAACGGTACACTCAAACCATGTGACATCTGGGAAAACCTCGAATCCATGGAGCTGCCCTCCTGTCTACACAGCGAAAGCCTGGAGCAGTTTGAGGGCCGAGCTTTGAGCTACTGGTCCTGGCCACATGAAAGGAAAATCAAAGCAGCGTGAAGGACAGCGAGCCAACAACCAGGGGACCGGGTGACAACTTGGATTCGAAGCGACAAAGTTCATTGACCCGCCTCCGATCCCAGGGATAAACGCTTCCCAGAGCTTGGTGGAAAATGCAAACGTGGCTCATGACTGCTGCTGCCTGTTGCGACCTACGACTCCCAGCTCACTTCTGACAAGAGTGCTCAGCAGCCACGATACGAGTGGCACAACTGACCTCACGGGCTTTGAGCTTAGCGTGCGCCTCGTGGCCAGGTGTTGACTTCTGTAGTTGAGCGCAGTCAACTACTTTTCAACCGGCCTTCTCGCTTGCGAATGAAGGCTTGCGCAATGTCAGTCAGGCCCAACGTCAGCCAATAAGATTGGCGCTTGCAACCCCCTGCTGCACATGCATGGCCACACAACAGACACGAACTGCCAGGGTTCGAAACGTCTTGAAGCACCCGCTTCCAGCATGACCGCACCGGGCAACGTACACAGGCTTGGAACAGCTTGCTTCCGCAAACCACCACGGCAACACTACAACTACATCTGCGAGACACACTCCGCGGTCGCTCCCCTAAAGTGCCTCCTCCTCAGGGAGGACAGTGAGGTCCAGGCTCTCACCCGTAATTTTCCTCCACCTGAACGCCAAGCCGTTCTAACTTCTAGCGCTTAAAACGGGCTGGGCTGAATTTGGAGGTTCTTCGGGCAATTGATCCAAGGCAAATCACCACTTTGTGCCCAAAGCTTCTGAGCCCAAGGCAGGGCAAGCACCTCAGTGGAGGCGTCCTTGGCTGCACTCCAGGCAGAACGGGGGGGGGGCGGGGGCTTTGGCTGCCGAGCACCATGAATTCTACGAATAGCTAAGAATGCTACGCCTTTTCGAACTTTGAAATCGTCTTCTAAGGGCAACCGGTTGTGGTGTCTTTTCAGTGTCACACAAGCCCCTCCCCGATGCAACGTTGAGGATGGCCTCAAAGTGCGATGACGGGTCGTAGCTGCCTGTGACGAAAACGCCATCCTGGAAGCACACGGGCGCTTGTAAAACGTTCAGCGGGTGCAGCGATGTCTAAGTTTTGGGACTCCAAAGGGGGGGCTCGGGTCCAAATACATCCGATGCTTCCTTTACAGGCTCTTGCGTATTCGCAAAAGTTGCAAAATTGTTCTGGTCTGCCAGGCGCGAGGCTGCAGTGCCGTCCGTGACCGGCTCGCGGATCTCGCTGATCTGCACGAACCTAGGCGAAGGATTTATCCCTCGAGGCTTCACATCCGAGGATGCTAAGGCCAATCGCTCAACCCGAAAAGCAACCAAAAAGGAGGGGGGGGTGGAAGGGGCAGAGAGATTTCACAAGGCCGAACACGCATGCAAATCTATAGAAATACATACATGCAACCATGAATGCAACTGAACGCCCGCCCACAATGCTCCCAATTCTCAGGGTGCCCCGACTTGTGCTGGATGGGCCCCAGGAGCTTCAGGGCGGGCTCGATCTCCCTCTCCGGGTCTGGCGCGTGCGGCAGGCTTGGGGTCGGAGAGCTCGAAGAGAGCACGAAGAGAGCTCGAAGAGGGCTTAGGCGGCTTAGGGCGAACTAAGGCGGTGGTTCCCGGGCCATGCAACTCAGTTGGCAGCAATTCTGACCAGAAAGCATGCCGGAACATGTATCATCATGTATCATACGCCACAATGAGATGCCATGCAAGCTAAACAAGGCCAACGACTGGAGGTTTCCACCACCGTGCTGACAATGGCCACGTACTTCTCCTCGTGTGTTGGTGCGAAGCGCCGTTCAAAGATTGGACTAACCAGCTGCGTGTCCTGGATAAGAGGGCTCTGAAAGAGACAGCTGAAGCTGCAAGCTGACCAAGACATCCCGACTGCGATTCGAGCAGGAGCTGCTTCAGGAACGCTAGCGGTGTAACCGGGAATGCAACGCTTGTCTTGGACCTCATACTGTTGCCGCCAAAGTTGTAGTGGAAACCTTTTCCAGCGACCGAGGTTGCATAGCGACTTCCAATCTGGTAAACAGCATCTCGAACCCATGGAGGGGCCCCTTTCCAGTTCCCGCAACAATCCTGCATTTTCTGTACAACCTCTCTCAGTTTTACGACTCCGACCACGGTCCCAAGGCGTTTCCTTCCTCTCTCTCGCTCTCTCTTCTTCTTCGTCGTTTTCTTCGTCTTCTTCTTCTTCTCCTCCTCCTTCTAATTCGTCTCGTTTGGGGAGTCGCCTGCCCGTGCACCGACACGCCCCTAGCTCAAGTCAGTTCAGGGCGCAGTCGGGCTTTGTTAGCCCCTGCTTCTGATGCACTGTTGGCTTTCTTTCCAGACTCCGAATTGAAGTTGCCATACCCGGACTTTCGGGGCTAGGCAAAGCGCCACGGCCACTTCCATTTCAGGTTGTAGGGATGCTTGTGGCTCTCTCTTTCGCTCTCTCAACCTTTAGCTGCAGGTCCCGCCGCTCCTGACCGCTGCAAGGCCCATTCCGATCCATTCCGCACTTCTGATTGATGAGAAGCGTGGTTTTACATTGCACGTATGAAACATAAGACACATGATAGACATGCGCATCCTCAACACAACGGCGTGACTCCTTCGCAGCGATGCAGTGCGCCCATGAGACCATCCTAGGCAGGGCCACTTCAAAGAGCTCAAAGCGGGAGTCTCTCCCCCCGGCCTCTCCCACCCTCTCTGGAACCTATGGCAGCTACTTCGAGTGCCCGCCCATCCGAGAGCGGGAGGAGTAAGCACCAGGCATGACGTAGACGTCGTTCTTCCGCTTCAGCCTGAGGGACTGGTCGCTCCCCGTTGCTTTCACATCTGCCACATGAAGAGCACCGCTCACAAAGCTCCTCCCGCCTCCCGCCTTAAACCCACAGCCCCAAACTAATGAGTTCAATTTGCAGGCCTGAAACCAGAAGCCACCCAGACCCCCAAAATCTGCAGGAAGGTTGCAGCAAACGGACCGTTGTCGATGGTTTCGGATTCGGTGAGTGGGGCTTATTGCGCCGGGCCCCACATCTAAGGCAAAGAGGAAGGTGAGCGCTGTGCGGCAGCCCTTTCCTCGGCAAGCAAAGCCCAAGGGCCACGCTGCTTCTGCGGCAGGATGATCTGACACGACAGGGCTGGCTTTCCCTCCTGCCAGGGTCAAGATGATACCTCCACTCCCTGTAAGGACTCGCGACTCATGGGCATGCTTCCGTTTCACTTGGCGGTGCTTCAAACATCTTCAAACATCCTTGGCTCAAACCTCCCTGACACCGCGCCCATTCCCTTGAATCCTGGTTCTTTGTCTCCGGGATGGGAGCGCCAAGGATGCCTTCGCGCGCATGCTGCACGCTTGCTGCCACTGGCGTTCCGCTCGGCACTTAGGGTTCCGGCTTCTCACCCGTCACCCACCAGTCATCCTCTAGGACAAATTCAAAGGTCGCCGATGTCCCCTCAAAAACTCCCGTTGTGATCACCGCGTCTTGCTTAGGCGAAAAGAATATGGCGCTTCGGCTGTTGGCATTCTTCTTGCCAGATGGGAAGCCGTCTAGCTGCACAAGCATCCACAAGGGAGGATAACATGGCTCTGCCTGTGTACTGCAAAAGTGTCACTATCTCATCTCTGTCTTGGAGCACATATGCCACATTCTCCCTTCCTTCTTCTGGCTGCCCTCCCACTCTCAGTCACTCGTTCGGTCTAGCTCGAAGGAATCCGACTTCCTGGGCTGCCGGCAGATGGCGCGAATGACTTGACCTTTCACCTCTGTCCTGAACGAGCAGGGGGCTTTTGGTCTAAGAGTTCAAGGTTGATCCCAAGTTTGCTGAGAGCTCGAAGGAATGTTGGGGCTGAAGAGTTCTCTAGCTCAACAGCTGTCCGACTCACCGGTCAAATTGCAACGCCAAGAAAATGCACCAGGGCAGACAGCCTGGTCGGCTCCGCATAGGAGGGGTCGCAGATGACCATCTTGCATCTGCGAGGTGACCAAACAATGCCGTTGTCAAGCTGTCCCCACCGTTACGTTCGAATCCAAACAAGTTTTGGTACCTTAGGTGTTTTCTTATTCTCACAAGAAGCAAAAACTACATCCCTCCCAAGTCCAGCAATCTGGGGTGCAGCATGTTGTGCTTCAAAATCCATGGAGCTTCGAACGTTGGAACATGCTGGAACCCATAAGCGAAGTGCTCCGAAAAGCCCTTAGAAGCTGCTGAGCAGCTGATCCCCCAACACTTGGAAGACCCGAGTGGCTCACCTCCACTCTAAAGAGCACGTTGCGTCTACGAGAGCCTCTACAGTTCGAGTCCCTGCGCTGCCTTTATCTGTCCTGCCAGGTGCAAAGATCTCACACTTTTAAGGGGTTCGGACGTTGCTGAGCTGTGAGGTCTTGGACTTGCAATGGGAACGGTAGTCCCAAATGCTGTCTTGGGAACATCAAAGGCACCTCGACACGACAATCTTCCTACATCCCCTGGACCACCACGTTGGGATGAGGACCTGCTTCACATGTTGACGGCACGCTCTACAATTAGACAAGAGCTGGTCCCCCAAACCCTGTAGTCCCTAAAGGCCCATAGAAGTTGCTAGACCCTGAACCCCCGCCCCGGTATGTGGGCACTAAAAGGTCTTGTGGGCCCAAGACCTACGAACCTCAAGCGCCGGTCCGGCCCGGCTCAGGGTCAACACGGCCTCCGAAGAACGCGGATTGGGTTTTGGGCTTGGGGACCCTTCGGGATTTTGCAGCGGGCCCGGACTGTTTGTTTAGCATTTGCTTGCGTCTGTTTCTTGAGGGTCAGGCTCTCGCCTAGGTCCCGGACGCATGTCAGGGTCAAAACCGCGCTCTCGCCCAAGCACGCCCAAGCACACTCTGTGGTCGAAATCGCGCTCTGGTCTGCAGATGTTTATGGGTGCTTTGGTTCTCGGTTTCCTTGCCTCAATTCATCTGTATGGTTGTCAGTCATTAAGCCCCTATTTCCCTGTCTACTTTCCTCTCGGCTTCGTTCTTCCATCGCTCCATGGCTAAATAGGAAACACGCCTATTCCTTTCTACAGTTACCTCTCTATGCCCTCCAGGTCTCAAGAAGAACTTTGGAGCTTCCTCTTGATTCCCAAGCCGCCATGTCCTCTGCATCATTTTATGGAGTATAGCTAGGACTTGCCAGGCATTTGCTGCTGCTCTCACCACGGTCCGGTCCCGCCTTCCCAAGTCGAGTTCTTACTGCCTTACTGCCAAACTGCCTTACTGCCTTACTGCCTTACTGCCTTACTGCCTTACTGCCTTACTGCCTTACTGCCTTACTGCCTTACTGCCTTACTGCCTTACTGCCTTACTGCCTCGCCCTCTCCCCCCCCCCCCCAGCTTGCATCGGATGTGAGAATCCCTGGACGTACTTTCCTGCCTCATCCGATGTGTGCATCTTTTCTAAAGGGCTTGTTGCGGTAGTTCAATTCATCTGTATGTTAATCGAAATGATGTCCTATTTCTTCTAGAAAACCCCTATGTTAATCAGGTTTGAATCAAAATGCCTACGCTTTAACCTAAGCCGAAAAGCCCTCAACACCCTACTTGTCTTGTATGTGCTTATTGTTGTCTTGTTTCTCACTTTCCTTGCCTCTCTTTCACAGACACACCTCAACTCATCTATAGTTGCATAGCTAGATCAATATTTCTTTCTCTTTACCTGCATCAAGTGTTAATTTCCTCCGGACGTTGAATCTTCTATCGTTTGAAGTTCGAAGGGTTGAATAGAAAGCCCTCCTGCTTCCTCCCACAGTTTCTTCTACGTGCCCTCTGGGTCTCTAGAAGAACTCCTCCATTTCTCTTGATTCCAGGATTTCAAGCCTCCATGTTTTCTGTATTTTGATTGGGAAGGCCAAGGTGTTGCTGCTTTGCGCTGTCGACGCCCGATCTGTTTGTCGCCCTTAAACACATCAACACAGCAAGAAGCAAAAGTAAGAAACCAAGGCAAGGAGCATACAAGCAGAAGGCAAAAGGCATTGAACAAAGCAAAATGCAAAATGAAAAAGCAGAGGCAAAAACAAATGAAGCAACAGAGCGAGACGAAAACAGCGCCAGAACACCCACCCACCCACACACACACACACATACACACACACAATATATATTCATAAATACATAACGCGAGACCAATAATCAAAAATTCTCAGGATTCCTTTAACATCTCTTTGGGGAGGATTATGATGGTGGAGCTTTTGGACTTTAGGTCTATGGTGTCCCACACGCACACACACACACACACACACACACACCTATGTACTGACCCCCTTCGGTGACGCCTACAGCGCCGCTCCGGGTTTCTGCAGGTCGTGCTCGCCGTGAGCGAAGTTGCCTGGGGAGAAATGTTGTTCCGGATTTAGGATTTCTGTACTCGCATCTTTTTCGAACCCTACGAACTTCTGAAAATTCAACTACGACTGCTATGTCGAGGAGCACAACTGCAGCCCAGCATATATAATAGCCTTGATGCGCTTTGCACCCGAACAGTCAAACAGGTCTCGGGCACCACAGCCCACAGAGGAAATTGGGTCACTCCCTTACATCCAGCACCCCCTGAACGACAACCTGGCTGTGCAATGTTCAATTTTGAAGTTTCAACCTCTGCATGATCTGTGCTTCCAACAATGTTGCGCGCTTGTACAGCATCTGCACTTTGACTTTGTGCTTATCCTCGTATGCGTGTCGAGGCCTCGATGTATCGTTCTTCGTGATTAGTCCGCAAATTTGTGCACAGACGCGCGAGTGCGGTGTTTGGGTTGGGTGTTGGGTGTGTCGGTGTGTGGGCGTGTGGCCATGTGGGCGTGTGGGCGTGTGGGCGGCGTGTGGGCGTCGTGTCGGCGGTGTGTGGGCGTCGTGTGGGCGGTGTGTGGGCGGTGTGTGGGCGTCGTGTGGGCGGTGTGTGGGCGGCGCGTGGGCTGCATGTGGGCTGCGTGCGGGCTGCGTGTGGTGTGGGGGCTGCGTGTGGGTGTGTGGGCGTGTGGGGGCGTGTGGGCGGCGTGTGGGCGGCGTGTGGGCGGTGTGTGGGCCGTGTGGGCGTGTGTGGGCGCGTGTGGCTGCGGTGGGCTGCGTGTGGGCTGCGTGTGTGGGGCTGGCGTGGTGTGGGGCTGTGTGTGGGTGGGTGTGTGGTTGGGGGGTGGGCTGTGGGCGTGTGGGCGTGTGGGCTTGTGGGCGTGTTGGGCGTGTGGGTGTGGGGGTGTGTGTGTGGTGTGTGGTGTGTGGGTGTGTGTGGGTGTGGTGGGTGGTGTGGGTGTGTGGTTGTGTGGCTGTGTGGGTGTGTGGGTGTGTGGGTGGGTGGCTGCTGTGCGTGTGTGGCTTCGTGGGTGTGTGGCTCTGTGAGTGTGTGGCTTTGTGGGTGTGGGTTTGGGTGTGTGCTCTGTGGCGTGTGTGGCTTCGTGGTGGGTGGCCTGTGGGTGTGTGGCTTTGTGTGGTGCGTGGTGCGTGTGCGTGGTGCGTTGGTGCGTGGTGCGTGGTGCGTTGGTGCGTGGTGCGTGGTGCGTGGTGCGTGTGCGTGGGTCGTGTGCGTGTGCGGCGCGCGGCGGGCGCGGGCGCGGGTGTGGGCGACGGGCGCGTGCGCGGGCGCGGACGCGGGCCGGGCGGGGGCGGGGGGCGGGGCGGGGGGGGTGGGGGGGGTGGGGGTGGGGCCTGGGGGTTGGGGGTGGGGTGGGGGTTGGGGC